TATTTATATATATATATATATATATATATATATATTGTGTGTAAGTGTGTGTGTGCTTCTTTTTTTGAATAATACAAGGGTGGATAGGGTTGACACAAATCACAAGAATCCTTTAGCTCTCCATCCCTACTTTCTAGAAGAAAAAAAAATTGCTTTAGAAATCATATAATTAGGAACAATTCATTTAAAAAAAGAATTAACGATATTTCGCTACGCTCTCGTATAATAAATTACAAAACCGTGTAACGAACGAGTTTTTCCTGCATTATTGTACACACAGAACACGTTAGTTGTCATACGTCTTTTAACTGTCCCCCCCACAAGAGTGTGTTGATGCATTATTTTTTCACTTTAACTAATGCTCAAGCTCCAATCAAAGTCGCCCACGTGTTTTCTTCTTTCATTACTCCCACCTACTGTAATTCTACATCCCAACAAAAATTGTGGGACACACTTCTTTTATCTTTTTTTGCGGATGAATTGCATCTTGCACCCCAAAAATGACATAATTGACACTTTGCACCCTAAAATTTAAAAACTGGCAAAGTTTACCCTTCAAATATATATTTCATGCCACAATGCACCATATGTCCATTTCTTATGATATTTTAGCTAAAATGTCAATATATCATGATATTTTAAATTTTGAAGTGTTTTTTTTTGTGGTCTTTTTCCCAATTTTTGTTAGTAATAATTTTAACTCTATGATTTTTTGGATCCACTTTTATTTTACAAAAACATTTGATATAAATTTCCAAAGTTTCCAAAAACTAAACAACATTTTTTTTTAATAATTAGCACCGTAAATCATGTTTTTTTAAAGTCATTTTTAAACACATCACTGTACCACATCTAATCGATGGAAACCGAAAACACATCATTTAAATGAAAATTGTATTTGTTTATATTTTGATATAAGAACTGTTTTTACTATATACTTCAAATTATCATTGAAAACTAGTGAAATAATTTACTATTTTGCAATAACACAATATTGAAAATTATCTCACACTAAGTATATATATCACAACACTACATGCAATAGTACCGTGTATCATCACTATGAAACTTATATAAATAATGTTAAATAAATTATTAATTCTCGTTAGTTATTGTTATATAGTAGACAACGAATATTTGCAAGACTAAACTTACTAAGTGCAAGATCTTACTTGATGCAAGACCAAAATATAAATAAATTTACTAAGAGCAAGACTGAAAATTACAAATATAATCCCAATACTAATTTTGATACTATTCATTCAAATTAGACATAATTACTCTTGCAAGACCAAAAAGAAAAAAAAATTAAAAAAAATAAAGGAGAAGTTGAAAAACGAAAGAGAGGGATGATGTAGGGGAAAAAGAGAATAACACAAGATAAGAAGAATTGTCGCCGTCCATCCGCCGTCGAAGAATTTCCGCCGCCGAAGAATTGCCGCCGCCCAACCTCGGGTGCTTGAAAAGGAAGAAGAAGAAGAATATGGAGGAGGAGGAAGAAGAAGAAGAAGAAGAAGAAGAAGAAGAAGAAGAAGAAGAAGAAGAAGAAGAAGAAGAAGAAGAAGAAGAAGAAGAAGAAGAAGAAGAAGAAGAAGAAGAAGAAGAAAATTCGACTTGTACATGTTGATTTTTTGGTGAAAAATCGACATTTAAATGTCGATTTTTTAGCAAAAATCTAGATGTTGATTTTTTTGGCGAAAATTCGACATTGTCAATGTCGAATTTTGACTGTGCGAATTTTCGTTTTGAAAACTTAAAAACCGATCACCTAACTATAAAAATACATTCATTCATAGTTTGTTTTCTATTTTTTCTATAGAATTTTCCATATTGATGTCTCGTGACTCCATAATGTTATCATTTGCATGTTTTAGTAAGATTTGATGGTTTTGGGTGTTGAGGATTTTTGGAGAAGATGAAGATTTTTTTTTGAAGAATTTGTGTGAAATAGGTTTGTGAGGAAAATGAAATGGGTTTTGCTTGTGTGGTCTTGCACAAAGGAAGTTGTAGATTTTTGTAATCTGTGGATTTTATATTTTAGTAAGGGTATATTAGTCTTTTAGTAATTCATTTTGTGAAAAAATTAGATTTGGTCTTCCCCTAAGTAATTTTAGGATTGCATATAGTCGCTGCCATATAGTATCATCTCTGATATACCTAATTGGGTCGGCCCAATAGGTCCCCAATTTATCTAATAATTAGGCCCACTATACGAAAGTCCAAGCACCTATAATTGGGTCCACTACACGAAAGCCCAAGCACCTTCAAAATAAGGTTTGGGCCAAACAAAGTAAGCCCAACCCAATCAACGATATATAAATAGATGTTTTACTCATTCGTTAAGGTACGTTCTATTATTCACTAACAATCTAGAGTTTTATTCTCTCTACCATCTCCACGATCCATACATCTGACTTGAGCGTCGGAGGAGGTTTCTGCCGGATCAACCCCTGGCTTAGTTCATGTGTGCTCATTTCGCAGGGACCTCAGGATCATCAAGTTGTCAAGCTACTGATCCACTTTGCTCTCCCAGCTCATTTTCTACATTACCTCAGGTGATCTAAGTAATTAGCATCATCAATCTCCATCATTACCAAATCTATATGTAACAAGTTTGAAAAATATAAAGAATTGTGGATCAACTCGTGTAATTTTAAAATTGTATTTTGAAAGAATTTGAAATTTGAATCGGATCGTAAATCACAAGGTATGAATTAATTAAGGTCAAGTGCTTTCGAAAACATTTTTTAAAGAATATTTTTTATGAAAATTTTGAATTAAAAATATATTACACATTAATTAAAAATAGTTGATTCCATTAATATGTGTTTATCAATAGTTGAGCTTAACCGATTCAAATCCTTGAATAATGTATATGGATTGAAAGAATTTGAGTTTACAATCGATTCAAATCTTACGATTTACGATTTGATTCTTACGCATATTAGGAATTAAATTTATTATTTTTTATGATATAATTGAATTAGAAATATATTAAACTTTAATTATAAAGATTAATACGTTCTTACCAATAGTTAAACTCAATTGATTCAAATCTTTTAATATTGTTTTAGAATTTAAAGAATTTGAGCTTAATCAATTCCAATTTTACTATTTGATTAAACTAAATATTAAAAGAAAAATCCTAATATAATATTTTGAGTATATAGATTTATTTTAAAGTAAGAAAAATAATTGAAATGAGTTATAATTTTTTTCTCCCTAAATATATATACATCATGACTAGCTAAGCAGACAAACAGCCCTGCATTTTTGTTATCCCCACATTTCTATTTAGAATATTTCAATTCTCGATCAAATTGATGAAAATTGACCTGCTACTTGTTATTTTGTACACCTGCCTAATTCATTAATTTGTGTGAGAATATACTGGACTTTTATATATTTTTTTGAGGGAAAATAGAGATTTTATTAAATATTCATCACTAAACCTGGGGGAGTATAAATCCTTCCAAGTCCGTCATCTCGTACAACTTAGCCAACTCATGGGCAAGATTATTTCCAGCTCGTTTAATAAATTGAAAAGAGACACTATTGAAACCACGAGCGTAAACTAGACATTGTTTAATAATTGCCTCAAACGGTGCTAATGGACATTCTTTCTCCATGAGAGCTGTCATCACTTGTAAGTTGTCACCTTCAATAACTATGGCATTCTATCCATTCTCCTTCGCAAGTTGTAGAGCATGAAGCATGCCAATCATTTCTCCACTAGCAACAGGTGGTCGGCCCAACCTTTTCCAGATTTTCCACCATAAACATTCGCCGTTGCAGTCACGTGCCACCATAGCCGTCACGTAGAAATTCATTCCAGTAGGGAAAGCTACATCGACATTCATTTTGATAACACCCCGGTCTGGGGGCAGCCAGGACGAAGGATGAGCGGTTATATGACCCGAGTGAAGCGACTTGTTCGACTGTTGATAGAGGTTTAGGTAGTCCGTGCACCAGCCTACGATAGTCTCCACGTTCATCCGTTCTTCTCCATGCATAAATTTATTTCTCAAGTCCCATAATTTCCACATTACGATCATAGCCAACCATATTTGTTCCTTCGTAAGAAGATTCCGCAAATATTCTAGCCAGCTATCCAAATTCGGGAATGTTGTCTGACCCATTACCTCGAACGGCTGATCAATCCAAACCTGCTTAATGTATCTGCACTCCATAATTGCGTGCACGAGAGTCTCTGTTGTTCCACAGAGAGTGCAAAATGGGTTTGTCAGAATCCTCCTTCGAAATAATTCCGCGCTAGTCGGGAGAATGTTCGATCGAGCTCTCCACAAGAAGATACGAATTTTCGGTGGGATTTTAGCCGTCCAAATCCATCTCGCCATGTTCGATTCTCCGCTAATTGTTGCTTGGCCGCTGCCCGCCTCACTCTGATGTCCGATTCCTAACGAGGCCAAGATAAGATTATAGCAAGAGTTAACCGTAAAATTACCTTTCGGAGCATACTGCCAAATAGTGCGGTCGTTGGTATTCGGACCGCCAATAGAAATCGAAAGAATTTGGTTCCGGTCCACCGTCCAAAAATATTGATCAATGAGCGAGACATTCCAGGCGTATGAGTGTGGGTCGATAATATCGGCCACTACATTCGGAAATGAACTATCCCTTGGACGTTTTGTGATGATTCTCATGTTACCGTCCTCCTCAATCCATTGGTCTCCCCATATCGATGTCGATCTACCATTACCAATGCGTCGTCTTAAGCCCATTTTCAAGTACTGCCTCGCCGCAAGGATGCTCTGCCAAGTGGCTGATGGCCATGAACCGATAGCCACCGAGAACAATTCTCCAGTAGGATAGTACCTTGCCTTTAAAATTCGAGATAAAAGAAGATGCGGTTGAGAGATTATTCGCCATCCTTGTTTAGCCAAAAGAGCAAGATTGAAGCATTCCATATCCCGAAAACCCATTCCTCCTTCACCCTTTGGTAAGCATAGTTTTTTCCACGTTAACCACGCCATTCCTTTACTAGAGCCGTTGCCCCACCAATATCGCCTCATTTGTGATACCATCTCGCCAAGTAAACGCTTTGGAAGAAGGAAACAACTCATAATGTAAGTGGGAATCGATTGGAGAACCGACTTGATCAACACTTCCTTACCTGCTCTCGACAGGAGCTTCTCTCCCCACCCATTAATTTTATTCCAAACTCGGTCCCTAAGAAAACCAAACACCTCTTTTCTAGATCGTCCCATCGAGCACGGCATTCCCAAATACCTTTCATGCTTGTCCACTACCTTAAAACCAAGAATATTGCTCACTGAATCCTTGATTTCTTGAGGGGTGGAAGGACTGAAAACCACAGTGGAAAGGGGCTATTTTACATAACCCCCTAGCCACCAAATAAACTAGGGATAAATCCAAACTCAAATCATCCTCTGACATGCCCCTGGAGAAGCGAAAGTACTATACTACCTTTATATGCAATTTTTGGCCGAACTGTATTCAGCTTTTTTTATCATGCATTTTATCATTTTCGCTGATTTATTTATTATTATTATTCTTTTAATTTTTTTTAAATAATAATAAAACTTGTTTCTTAAATTTATATATTTTTTTTATTTTTTTAATTTTTTTAAATTAATTTTTTTTTTTTAATTTTTTTAATTTTCAAAACAATATGTTTAGTGTATTGAAAATAACTACATGTAACTATAGTATCTATAGTAATTCGTAGTTAGGTTCTTTTCTTTTCCTCATATTTTTAATCGATCAATTGTATACCACACGAATAATGGCTTATACAAAAGAAATTCATAAACTCCAACAAAAATTTACAAATTTCAATATTTTTATTATAAACCACCTCAGAACCAATAAAATACGAATCGAAAATACACGAATATATGCATATGTAACTACATGTTACTATATGTATAATAATGTATAGTAATGTATACAGTTTGTTGAACACTGTTTCACATGTAACTTCAACCAAATTTTTGACACCTTCCGGGAGAGGATCAATGGCTTTCATTAAGCTGCAATTGCAAAATCAAAAAACAAAAATTACTTTAGTGCAAATCAACAAAATTTGAAGAAACATCAAAACACTCAAAAAATCAACAAACACTACGAGATCGAGAGATAGAGAGAGAGGTTATTGCTCGAAAATGCTACATATTTTAAATCAAATAGACAGTGACTCCTCACCCCCCTCGCCTCCTACCAAAACCCTAGGCGCTGCTAATAACCACCCAGGGTTCCGCTCGCCCACAAATGCGAAAAAATATAGAAATAAATCTGAAAACATAAAAATAACGAAATTACCATCGAAATATAGATTTCGACGAGAGGAATCCAACGGTGGGAAGCCCGTCATATTTTGACTAGTGGAACACAAAATATACCTCCAGCAAGAACAGCGTCGTTGAATGAA